AGCGAAGACAAACCAGAGAGGCAGCTGTTGGCAGACGTAAATGCGCAGATTGTTCGTGCGCGGCGAGCCCAAGTGCGGACATCTGCTGTTGTCGCACAGGTGAGTGTCTTGCATACCGACGTTGCGCCAAGCGCGTTCACGAACGAAGCTTTGCAGCAAAAGGACACCCTCAAACGCCTCATTGATGCTGTGCACTCGTCGTACTCCTCGTTGAAAACCGTCGCTGCGCAGAATATCAAGTATTTCATCAAGGACTTTCCCGAACTTGAGGATGACGCTATAAACGCGGTGTACGACTTGTGTGAAGACCAGGACCAGAAGGTGCGTCTGTGTCATCATCACACATATCTCCTTGTCATGATCCCGTCCTGCTAGGTGCGCAAGGACGGATACCGCGCTATTACTTCCGTTTCGAGGGAACAGAGGAAGTGGGTGAAGCGCAACGCGGACGTCTTGGTACAACTGCTTCAGAGCGGTAAGTGTCTATTTGCCAGATGACATCCTTTGCCTTTCCAGGGATCCATTACTTCCCTCGGCGCGTGTGCTCTGTCGCTCTTGGTCGTCTTCACTTCACAGTGCACGCCGAGCCGCTAGACTGATCGTGTGTGCAGATGAACCGGAAGAGGTCGAAGTCGTCGAGCAGCAGCTCACCGAACACCTCGACATGGATCCTACTGCGACGCTCGGTGTACTGTGCGATCAGGTTGCGCCACAAGACGAAGCTGCAGACGAAGAAGAGCAGGCAATACGTGATCGTCTCAGGGGGCTCGTTCTCAGTTTCATGACCGGCAAGGCCAAGCGTGGTATCATGGAGCGACATGCCAATACACACGATAGCCCGGCTGAAGTCATGCTGGTGCATGGGATGTACAGGGTGCGTGCTATTTGGATCATCATGGGATTAATTTTCATGAACTCGAACCACTCTTAGGCTATTGCGAAGCTACCTCCTGCAGATGTCGAAATAGTCATCAAAGAGGTCCTCCTGCCACTACCATCGTTCAGCCCGCCGAATGCTCCGCGGGGGGGTGAGTTACTGAATGCTCTCATGGGCGAAGCAAGATCAGCGTGGAAGTCTGAGTCGCCTCAGGGCAGTGATCGCTCTTCTATCCCTCGAACTCGCTTCTTCCTGGAACTCGCACATGAGATCGTTGTGGACAAACGCATAGCGCCTCCACACAATCTTCTGCAGTTCTGTGTGGCAACTTTGGTATCAAAGATGGTCTTGCAGAGTCTAACCGACGATGTGCAAGCATTTGTCGTGAGATGTATCGCTGAGAGCTTCGACCTCATGCAAGAGAGCAGTCCAAGTGAGATTCCATCAATACGTAATCAGCTGGTGGAAGCCAGCGGTTTACTTCTGGCAGTAAGTGATGGCATAGCACGATACGGAACTGGATCGCTAACACGTGTATCCAGTGCTTCATCGAGTTCAAACCCGAATTGAAACATTGGCCAGCCTGTGTGACTATTTTGAGAGCCTGCAAATACGTGAGTATCTCGTGGATCGCCCTTCGCGATATCTGCTAAGTACCGCTGCTTGCAGCATTTTGAGACCTCACAGTGGAAGCCGTCGTCAACTGTTGTCTCAGCATATCAGAAATTGCAAGAACAAGCTTCAAGTCGCGAGATTCCGCAAGAGCACAGACAAGCTGCAGAAGAAGTGCAAAGCCTTATCAGGGTTCGCAATGGGCCATCTTTCGTTTTCCCCTTCGTAATCCAACAATGTCCTCTTCTCTGTTTGAGCAGTCACTCCTTCAGACTACGCCTGCATCGCGTCAGTCGTCCGTACCGGCGACAGCACCAAGCCCAGGGGCGTCTACTAATGTAGCGAAAGGTATGTCAAACAATGGCAAGCCCAATGGCGGCCGTGTCCAAATCAAGCGCAAGCCAGAGCTCCAGGCAGAGCAACAGCGCGCAGCTCACCGGCAGCCCTCAAGACCGCCATCGCGAGCGTCAATGCCGCACGGGCCTCAAGGATCAGTGCAGCAAGGAACCGGATCTCGCAACGAACGACAGCTGCCACCGCACCTGGTCGCGAGGCAGGCGGACCGCCAGCGGACAAGCTCGCCGGCAAGCGGCCGCGCGACGCCTGTGGGCGACGGTGAGCCCCATCCGAAGGCAGA